TTTCAGTACCAGCTGAAAACTCCTCACAGTAGCTTTCACATTTTCGGGCAACAAGGTAAATAGTTTTTTTTTTAGCAGAGGCAGAAAACAGCATGACCACGTCTGTCTTAGGGTTACAATATCAATCCTACCTGTAAACCTTATGGATTCATAACTTCTTTTTAAAAAGAGAAAATCAGAAGGAAAATGTGGTCTGAACATCGGATGTGGTTCTATTTTTTTCATCCGGTGTTTGTTTTTTTCCCAATCAGATCCTACAGATCACTATATATTTGACCTTCAGGATTCCTTATTCTCACTGGTAGGTTCTTTAATTCATTTGAAAGTTAATGTTTTTTTAAATTTGTCTTATGTCTAAAAATCTGGCCAGGACGAAATTCATGTGATCAAATTTGAAAACAGAATGATAAGTTTAGAAGATCGACGACAGTAATTAAAGGGGAATAAAGGAATAAACATAAGAATATTTTTGTCATAGCAGGATATTACAAATACTTCTAAAAGGATCTTTTATAGATTAACGACAAAATCTCTTAAATTCAACTTGTGTGTGCGTGTGTATGCGTGTGTGTGTGTATTGAAACCAGGAATCCGTCCTCTCAAAGCGTGATGTCTCTGTGGGAGATGATTCGTTTGGTCAACATGCTGATTGTCTTTCGCTTCCTGCGCATCATTCCAGATATCAAGGTACGTAAAGACAAAATCCACAAGCTGCTGGAATCAGCAAAGACTTCTTTTCTAATGACAGTGATATCCATCCAGAATTTTTTTTTTATATATATATATATATATATATATATATATATATATATATATATGTATATATATGTGTGTGTGTGTGTGTATATATATGTGTATGTGTAGGAACCCTAAAATGTTGAAAATGATGTATCATTATTGGTTTAGATGTATAAATCAATATTGTATATTAATTAATGTGGTCGTTTTTTTTCCCTTGCGGGATCCTGTTTGTTTATTTTCTGAACAGAATATATATATATATATATATATGTATAAAAACACTGTTTTTATAACTTTAGATTAGGCTTTACAGTAAGCGTTCTCTCCAATAATCCCAAACATTGAATCCAAAGCAGCGGGACAAAACGTCAACTGAGTTTAAATAAATAACTAAAATTTAACTATGAGATACGGGATCCATTTTTTCTTTGGTAAATTCAATGTGCTTCGGTACTCAGAGAGAGAGAGAGAGAGAGAGAGAAAAAGGAGCCACAGGTTGAAACCCGGACTTGAGAGCACCCGCCTCTGTACATGGGCCGACCGAATCAACCACTAGGCCAAAAGCATATCATCACAACATTTTCTGAAGAATATTTCTACACGGCATTACGATCAACATGTTAATTCATAAAAGGCCAGTAGATGTAGTACAATAACCAATAACCAGTGTTCAATAATGGAGCCAATACAGAAGTGCAAAAAGATGCAGTTCCTCGAGTGTCCACTAGAGGCTGGCTGTAAAAGTCCCACACACCCCATATTAACACGTCCATTTTGACAGCAGACATAAACACGTTGGTTAATGTCTTTATCAGCACACTCTGTACTGGGAATGATTTTTGTATTGTTCACCCTCTTATGAGTTTCTGAATGATGACGAGTTACAGTATGAGGGACGAGAACGATCTACCTGCTTGTTGTTTGTCAGGAGACTTAAGGCGCGCCTCATCTCCGGCTCTTTGTCTGCTCTTAGGTTGACTAAATCTACGGATTCCATTTTAATCTTCATGAATCTCATCTTGTTTTGCAGCTGATGGCTTTGGTTGCGAGCACAATGTTGGACCTGCTGAAGAACCTCCGCGCCTTCGGAGGGATATTGGTGGTGAGTGGTTAACCAGCTGATCTACACACTTTGTTTATTTCTTTGCTTTTAAATGGGCTGTTGAATGACGTGCATCATTATGGACTGAGGTGATTGAGCCTTCTTGCATTAAGTTTTTGGTTACGTTTGACTTTCATTTGTGAGTCCTCAAAGCAGTAAGGAGAAGCATTTAAACTGATGGAATCATCATTTTGTTTCTATCTGCACGTGGCTCCTCTTCCTTGTTTTTACAAACTGTGACAGGTTGAAGGGTTGATGTGACTGCAGTGATGTGTTCAGGAGCTCACATGTAAAGGGAATGAGCCCAGCACGTTTAGAGGTTAATGTCTTCTTCATGCTCTCCCTGCAGGTGGTGTACTATGTGTTTGCTGTGTTTGGGATCTGGCTGTTTGAAAGAGCCATCAAACCTCCTCCTCAGATGAGGTGAGACGCGTGCTCAACTTAAAAAAAATCTCTTCAAGGGCAATCAGTGCCAACCCAGAGTGAACACTGTTAAAAAACAATATATCAGCACGTTAGGGAACGAGCACTAAGACACGAGACACAGCAGTCATTTGAAGGAAAAGGAGGGTTTTTATTTCACAAAACAAACAAGTGACAGCGTCGCACAATGAATTCAACGGAGGAGAAACTTTTCACCGTCTACACATAAAAACACCTTAAACAGTTTCTGAAAATCTTCACCCTGGAAGGAGTATACCCACTTATTTTTCAGTCTCCAGAGTAAACCCACTTCTAAATCTCCTCTGATTCACAGCAGTGATTGATTGATAATGTTCAGTATTATGCTGCATTTTGTTTTCCAAAGATGGTGAAGTGGTGACCCTTTACTCTGTCGCTAATTGGTTAGTACCAACTGACTAGGTATGCAGGAGTAAAACAAAAAATGGGGGAAAACATTTAGAGTATACCCACTTCTTTAGGCACTTCTTTTAATGAGGTAAACTAACTGTTGGTTTTTCAGACAAATGTTGGTGATCCACCTTTTAAACGTTCGCCAACAGGTGAATTGCCATTGGGGGAAAAAAGGTTTAATTGCCAAAAAATTGTCAATAGTTTTTTGTCATCAACCATACAGATGAGCATCACAAAAGCACACTGAGCAGACTTAGAAACCAGTCCAGCTGTACACCAGTAAGTTCCTGGTGCTCTCATCAGATGTCATATTCACAGAATGTGTTTCCTAAGCGTACAAATAAATAGATTTAATTCAGACTGCGTTTGTTTCCCAAACGTGCGCGACTAAATCTTAAACCCTTTGAGATCAGCAGCTCATTTGAAGGTGTTCTCTTGTTCAGTGAGTCCTCGCTGATGGCCCGTGTACTCATGTTTGTTGTTGTTTTTGTGTACACGTGTGTCAGTGTCTTCACCAACGACACCATGGAGAACATCACCTCAAACTTCAGCATGGCGTGTGGCACCTATGAACAGCTGGAGTACTGGCCCAATAACTTTGATGACTTCGGGGTGAGACACGAGAACGTCCACGTCTTCAAGTTGTTTTTCTTTTTCTGCTCACTTGTCTTATTTAACTCCTTGTTGCACTTCTGTGTTTAAAACTCTGTTAAAAACCAGTCATGTGTCAGAGTAGAGTATAAAACAGTACTCTGCAGCATACTGGAGCGCTTTGAGTAGTCAGAAGACTTGAAAAGTGCTGTACAAGCTCAAGTCCATTTACCATTTTACAGCAGCGGTGCAAAGAGACGATGGGGAGGGGAGGGAAGGGTCCGACATGATGTTGATGACTTTTCTGTAAAGACTGCTGTGCATTAAAGTACAGAGGAATGAAAATAAATAACGTTCTCTCCTTTTTGTCAGGCGACCATCCTTTTGCTCTATAACGTCATGGTGGTCAACAACTGGCAGGCCTTCATGGACGCATACAGCAGATACACCACAGAGTAAGAAAAAACAACAAGCAGGAGTGGTGATGATGATGATGATGGTGATGATGGTGGTTGTGGTGGTGATGATGAAAGTGGTTTATTCTCCACAGCTGGTCCAAGATCTACTTTGTGTGTTGGTGGCTCACCTCCTCGGTCATGTGGGTCAACTTGTTTGTGGCGCTCATCTTGGAGGTCAGTTCAACACGGACTGAGACATTCACTCGTGAAATGACTTCAGGGTTTCAGTCGACAATCTCAATATTGTACACAGGAGATGTTAAAAACAGTAACAGTGTCATCTTTTTACTCAAAAGTCATCTAGACGGCTCTCTCCAATGTTTTGAATTTGGACTGCAGTACCAGTATTAACCACTAGGTGTCAGAGTTACAGATTTTTTCTTTAACTATGAATTTGTAAACTTTCTTTCAGATTTACGTCTTAATAATAAAGTAGAAAGAAGTTTTCCTTAACTTCATTACACACTCGACACACACTCTGTTTTTGTTTTGAACAGAACTTCATCTACAAGTGGGATCGCAGTCACAGCTGCTCTGTTACAGATGTGGAGAAGATCAGATATCAAACATCTGTTCAGCTCATGTTCAGGTAAGTCCACTCGTGTTTTTATTTTGAGTCATTAAACAAAAACAATCAGACCCTCAAGTCATCAATAACTTTGTCTAATGACTATTCCTTCTCTGTTTGCTACAGAGAGCAGATCCAGGAGCCAACAGAAGAAGAATTACTTTGTCAACTACACCAACACCCACACTTACACCTGCACTGGTGACACACACACACACACACACACACACACACTCACACAACAAAGCTGTTACCATACCAAGTAAGAACTACTACTCAAAGTGTGTGCAGTGTGAAGAAGCACTGAGAGGTCAATAAGAGAGCAGAGTTTATTTTAATTTGTTTTATTGTTAAATGTGAGTTCTACTACTGAAACTAGTAGGAGGTGAATGTATCAATGTTTGTTATTCAACAAAGTGAAACCACTGTTCTTTTATTGTTCAAAACCTTCGTATCTCAAGGATCAAGATCAAATTCCGTGGATGTCAATTTGTTTTTTCCCGAAGCTTTGACACACTAATAGACCTAAACATTTATTAGAATGAAAAATCTGAGCTGATCAAAACCTCTAGAGTTCAAAAAGTTGTATCTCCATTATTTTGCCTCAACACAATGACGCATCAGAATAATAATCAGAGAACTTGATTTTACACTGAGATATATTGGGGTTTTTTTATGTACAAAGAACTTACTGATGATCTCATTTACTGGATGCAACTGCTCCATGACTGAAATCTTGAAATCATGTTTGGCTGTTGAGCTGCACAAACAAAGAACCAAAGATTTGCCAAAGATAAGTTTGGCTTTTGTGTAATAATTATGTTTGGGTTTTTCCACTCGTTGTAGTTACCGTAACTAAATATCTCTACCGCAGGTTGTTGATCTAGATGTGTTTTTGGCCTTTTGTTTCCGTGTATGTAAATCTGAGGGAGGATTTAAACTGAGAATCTTCAGGGAAAGATATCAATCAGGAAACATGCCTTATATGTAAACTAGTCGCACAGGCATGTTTAGCAAGAATCCTGCTCACAGGTGGAGAAAAAGTGGAACCAGATTTTATTTCAATCAAGTTTCTTCCCAACATCCCTTCATGAATTAGAATCTATAGACTGTTTAAAACAAGTTGTCGTTTGATCGGTGGAATCAAGAGTGACAGCTGACCAACAAACTCTTATCAAACCATGTAAATATAAAGAGTGTATCTTCTATATCTAAGTTAAAGCAACCTCATATGTCTGGGGTTAAAATGGTAAATGGACTTGAGCTTGTGTAGCTCTTCTCTAGTCTTCTGACTACTCAAAGTGCTTTTACACCGCAGGTCACACCTACACATTCACACACTGATGGCATCATGTGGCGTAAATCTTCCATTAGTATTAACTAATCCCATTCATACACCGGCCAACAAAGCAGTGGGAGCAACTTGAGGTTTAGTGTCTTGCCCAAGGAAACATTCAACCTGTGGCTGCAGGAGCTGAGGATCGAACCCCCGACCTTCTGGCTAAGAGACAACCGACTCCATGGATGCCCAGTTTAATCTGGTGTCTGTTTTTCAGTCACATCTGAGACAATCAAACACATTTCCACATCTTTAGGGAGTATTGATCATGTAAAGGGAAACATCCTCTGAGAGGCTGCAATGCATCGTTCTACAGGATGGAGTGAGACTCTGTTAAAAACAGAAACGCCAGAACTTTCAGATTTTACTTAAAGGGAAGTAAGGGATAATCCTTGAATTGAAACTTTTTATATAAAGGGCTAACTTTGCCTTGGTATTTATATATTTACAGTGGAATTTTGTTTGTAGAATAAACGCAGATAAAGGTTTTTATTGAATTAAGTTTGGATGTATCAGAAAACTGGAGTTTCTGGCTATTTTTAATGTAAGATACATCATATGTTTCAGTTTGCACTTTGAAAACTGTTTGTAAAAAAAAAAAAAGATGTATTCAATAAATATTTTGCAAAAAATATCTATTTATTGTTTTTTAGAAAAAGAAGTGTTTGAATCAAATAAGAAAAGCAGAAGTGCATTCAGTTTGATTGCCAGTTCTTTAATTGTGTTGTATGTGGGACTGTATATAAACCATCAATATCAACCAGAAGAGTTAGGGTAAAAAAAAATCAAGTCAGTGCACCGGTGGCCTAGTGTGTAGTTTGTGTGCATAAAAGCCCAAAAAATAAATCTTAAAGAAAAAGTTACTACTCAATGTCACACTGTAGGCATGTCTATAATGCACCTGTATTCTGAAAATTAAAACGTGTTTCTGTTACTGTATTTTCATTTTAAAATTATTCATTTGAATTATGATACAGATGTAGCGGGGCATTTTTTGAAAATGAAAAACCAAATGTCATTTTCTTCTTCATTTTAATTTAGTCAAAGAATGTGCACTTTTGAAGTTGAAAACTAAATTCAAATTAGAAAAATAAATCATTTTATTTTTGAGTCAAATAATCACTAATACACTCATATTCTAAAAATTAAAAAGCATTTCTGATAATGCATTTTCATTTTCAAATTAGCTTTATCATTTGAATTCTGATCACTAATCGCTTCCAAAGTCCATGTCACAGCATTCAAACATGTCCAGTGGTTCAGGTGGTTTTGCAGACTGTGAGGACTGGTCCAACAGGAGGGGGATGGATGTCTGAGGAGAAATGATGAGAGAAACTTTAAGCTGATTATGAATTAAAACAAAAGTAGTCTACATTTATACCATGAAGGTAGATCAAGAAGAAGACAGATTTATGAGGAGGAGAAGAACTGTCTTGAATCATTATGTGAAGAAGTCATAACGAAGCCTATCCTGTTCTTTTTCAGGGTCTGATCTCTGTCTTTTCATGTGCCCAAAACTGACTGCCAACAGTTGTTGCACAACAGTAATAATGTTCAGTGAATTATGTATAGGTACATGTGAAACCCATTTTTGATGGTGTCATTTGAAATGTCTATTCAGGAGGCTGATATAGTCTTCTATTTGATCTGTGAGAAGAAATAGGGGGAGCCTGAGACCAAAAACTTGTATTTCCATAAACTCCTCTGAAAAGGAAAAGGTATCTATTAAAAATAAATAAATAGTAGTCTGTGGTCAATGGCTGCAGTACAAATTTAACAGTGAAATGAATACGTTTTGATACTTTAGCCTATTGCATCACATTGTGTTTCCTTTGAAAAGTTTTACCCCAGAGGCTGAACGGGATCCAATGTTGCTGTAAATGTTTTTGTAATGTCGCTCAAATCACCGCGAGGGGGCGACGTCACTCCGCACAAGCTCAAAGTCTGCCGGAGAAGAAGAAGAAGAAGAAGAAGTAAGAGGAAGTAGTATCTTGTGTTGTTCTGGAAACACGCTGTTGGAATTTACTTTCCCCCTTTTCGTGGACCAAGAGAGGATTTTGAGTTTTGTAACGTTTCTAAGGGGAAGTCCTCAAACGTGTCGATGGAGGGTAAGTCATGTTTAGTAGAAGAAAAGTCAAATGACGAGTTAAAGGACGAGTCTGTGAGTGTTGACACAAAGTTACAGCACAACACAAACACAACACAACACAACACAACACAAACACAACACAAACACAACACAAACACAACACAAACACAACACAAACACAACACAACACAAACACAACACAAACACAACACAAACAAAACACAACACAAACACAACACAAACACAACACAACACAACACAACACAACACAAACACAAACACAGCACAAACACAAACATAGCACAAACACAACACAAACACAAACACAAACACAACACAAACACAAACATAGCACAAACACAACACAAACACAAACACAAACACAAACACAACACAAACACAAACATAGCACAAACACAACACAACACAGCACCTGGTTATAATCCTCCTCTGGCTCTTTCCTTCCTAATGTCTTTTTTTTAACCTGCATTTCAGCCAATGTTATTTCAAATGTCATTACACGAACCTTATTATTGTTATTATTATTATTGTTATTATTATTGTTATTGTTATTTACAGTGTATGGTTTAAACAGTCTATGGTTGAGGTGATTGCAGGTCATCTCTTCTTGTTTCATGTACTTGGTGTTTGTGTCTGATCCTGTACACAGAGAGCTTTCTGACCTACAGTTGAGTAAGAACTGCAGATTTATTTACTTTTATCAAAACATAAACAAACAGATGACCTCACTACGTCTTTAAATCTGCAGAATATGATCTTTGTGAATAATATAACAACAGTGATTTTCTGATTAGTAGGAGAAATAAATTAAGTTACATGAATCAATTCAGCTTTTAATGGCCATGTGTGCTCACACACACACACACACACACACACACACACACACACACACACACACACACACACACACACACACCCATTAGGGCTGGGAAATATATCGAGTTTTTAAGATATATCGATATATTTTCAAACGAGATAACGGGTTAGACAATATCGTTAATATCGATATAGTTTATGTTGCATTAAATCTCCCGTTTTGGAATATGGAGACACACTCTACATACACACATCTGCCTCTGTCTTTAGAGCCTCATACCACAGTGCTCTTCACTTTATCACAGGCGACATCACAGACTTTTCTCCTGCCCATAAACATATCGAGCCATTCGACAAGGTCTCAAAACTGGATCACTTTGAAAACACCGAGGTTTAGAACTGAACGGGGAAAGACTGCCTTTAGTGTTGCTGCACCCAGTATGTGGAATGACCTTCAGAGGACGGCTAAGTTACCCTCTCTTGTTTCATTCAGTGTTTTTAAAGACCTTGTCGCCAAACTACCTCTGGAAGGAAATTGCAACTGTTTCACAATGTGAATTCATTTAAATGGACATGCTGTGTCCATGTGTGAATATGTGTTTCAGTGTCTAGATGCTATTATTGGACAGATTATTAGAATTTTCCATGTATGGCGCCAAATCAAAGCAAACTTTATCTGAAGACACCCTACCTAAAGAGCAGGTCTAGCCTTTTAGTTACATCATTTACTGTGACCCGCCATGAGTCCACCATGAGTGAGCACATTTAGCAATAGTGCCGAGGAAAAACTTCCTTTAAAGCAACATAACGGAGGAATACGATGCTGTGTGTTTAGGTTCCCACTGAAGGTCATCTTCAGTAAATACACAGTGTATTCACATAACCAGCTCGGGTTGTCACTCTGGTCCGCCTTCTGGCTCGGTCACTCTCTCTTTTTTATCCTCTTAGCGCCGCTGGTCACCATCTTCTTCCATCTCTTAGCCTCAGCCTTTCCATCAAACAGTACCAAGACTGACTAAGGGCGCGGTCACACTGGCCGTCCGTACCGCGCCCAAGCACGCGTCAACCCTAAAGTCCAGTTCGTTTGGACAGTGTGACCGCTCCGCATCGTGCTCAGGAGTCTTTTTGTAGCTGAAGGCCGGTGTGTGAACTCGTGCTGTAAAGTCATACACACTTCTTGTGAGAGAACCTCGGCCTGCTGCCAAAGATCCATCGTGGTGAAAGCGGAAATTAAAGGTTGATTATGCCTGCCAACATCAATACCCTGATGTGGCTTACGCTGGCTTCCTGCCATGTCTCTCTGGAAACCTTTGATGGATCATTGAATGTTATTCATTCCTCTTTTGCTTCGCTCCTTTGATAAGCCCTCATGTGGTATGTGACAAAGATCTTCTTTACCATCTTTTCACCCTGGTTCTTACCCAAACCGATGAGCCACTTTCAGGAAGAAAACCATAAATCAATCTCGTAATCATTTAAATTTGGGTTCATTGTTTGGCGTCAGGGCCCACAGCTTCACTGATTGGTTCAGACTCTTTGCTTTCAGTAACCCTTTGTGTGCTTTTCAGCTGTAGTATCAGCAGCACAGGTTAGCGCCTTGTACACACCCTGTCCACCCAGTCCGAAGACAGATACAGTTAGCGACTAGCTGGTGAACAGAGTGGAGCATTTAGCATCCAGAGAGCTTCATGTGTTTGTCTCAGGATTTGTCAGAATCCAAAAAAAGTGAGTTCAAGTGAGTGAACTTTGGACTTCTGTGGATCAGATTGTCACAAGCAGGAGATCAAGCGATGGTTCATGTCGCTTTGAGTCTGCTGGATGTGTGTAAGCAAACCCGTTGCTAAAAGTATTTCCGTGCTGTACTCAGCATTTCTAACAGAGGAAGAAACAACAGCTCCTTGTATCGAGCACGAAAGTCCTGTCAGGCATGATAAGGTCGTCGATACTGTGGAAACTTTAATACTTTCTGATACCAAGTGTTTTAAAAAGAGACAATCTGTTATTTCTATGATGGATAGTTTTGAAAAGTCCCGACACTTTTTTTTCCCAAATCTCTTTATTAGTTTGCTCAGATGATAAGAAAACATACAGTTGACATTGTACTGTGGTCATCTTTTGTAAACCCGATTCCTGCCTTCTCCCGCCCATCCCTGTTAACCCCATAAGTACCAGCACTTCAAAAAAAATACAATTCTTTAGCCATATTTTTAGCTTGCTTCAAATTTTCATAAAAAATGTTGACCGCAGACCTGAAACAATTTTTCCTGAGAAAATGTTGACGTCTGACCTGTCGGGAATTGCAGAAATAGGTTGGCAACTTTTCTGTACTGAACCTTTGCCATTGTATTTGTGCACTTTAGACGGCGTGCCTACAATTTGTGTTTCTAATCAAGAAGGTTGCCTGCTGACAACTGGACGGGGACTACAGATGGAAATGAGCCGTCAAGGCTAAAGCTGCTCCTTGTACTGTACAGTTAATAAAAGGAGACTGTCCATGAAACAGTATGACCCGGTATTTGCTCCTAGCACGTCTAAGTTGCCATGGTATCACAACAGGTATTTATATTATTAGATTCTTGATAGAAGCACATTTTTCGTTGAGTATCTGGGTATTGTGACAAACCTCGTAAAGCAATTTATAGCGTATCCTGCAGTGCCAAGTGGAAAAGTGGGTCGTGTTTTTGTTACCTAACATAAATCTCTTATCACCTTTCTTTCTAATGTCAGTGAAGTTGTTTGATTGACTGTGTACTCTCTCCGTCTGATGGTGATGACAGGACTGTCTGCTCCTCAGATAAAAGTACTCGGATGTTTTCCCCTCAGTCTCTTCTTTGACCTTCTTTCATCCATCCAGACATGATGGATAAGCAGAAACTGTCACTCTCATTAAACAGAAACAGCTGTACCTTAATGAAACATGTCAGTGATATTTATGACACAAGGTATGAAATGTAAGAAATGTAACTAGACCTGTCTTGTGTCAGTTTACAACTGCAGAAAGTCAACCACAGTGTAGGCGTGATTCACAGTCATCAGTTTCAATGGAAAGTCCTAAACTCTCTCTCTCTCGTTTAAATCAGGACTTTCCTGGATGCCAACCAGCACAACATTTATCTCCAACCTGCACACGTCATCTAAACATTTAGGTTATTCCAAATATACGTATACACCTTCAAAACCTGAGAAACAAATGCAGGGCCGATAGTGATGCCAATGTTTTTAATAACAAGTTGGCTGACTGTTGATTTTTCCGACACTGTAAGACTCTCACACTGCCAACATTTTCTCATATTTCACCATGAAAACAGAGTTTGCCCAACAGGGGACTTCTTCTGTCCAATTCAGCTGAAATAGTCGCTGATTCAGTTCCTCCTGAATTACAGATAAAGATTAAAGCTTGTTGTTAATGTGGCTCTGTTATATGGCATGGGGCAATTCATCGAAAATTAATCAAAACCCACATTCAGAACCTCTAACCGACATAATCTTGCCCTTGTCGATTATTTTAAATATTTTCAGGGTAGAGTCACGTGGCGACATGTCCAATCGGTGAAGCAATGTCCTTTGTTTGGACACATCCTGTCTTTAGGGAAGACGACACAGAACAAAAAGAAGACAAATGTCAACACTGCAGAAAAACTGTTTGCAAGAAATGCAAGTTATTTATTATTATAAGTTCATTTTGACTTTAAAACTAAAATGTGTCGTTTTCATTTCAAGCGATGCTTTGATTTCAGTTTGAAATATTCAATAAATCATCACAACATAGTTCATCAGATATTCACTCTTTCATTAGAGAAAATAACCCTGCTTTAATAGTTGAGCTTATTTACAGTAGAGACCATGAACTACGAGGGCAAAAAAACAAATAATCGCTCATTAATCGTAATCGAGGACAAATGTTCAATTAATCGTGATTTTGATTTGAGGTCGTATCGGCCAGCTCTACTCTGTTGCTGGATGCTGAGCTCTTCATTGGCCTGGTGATGACTCCTCCTGTGTTCTGCTGCAGCGCCTCAGTGAGGTTTTAAGATTCACTGTAACACTTGTTCTCTTTGTGTCCTTCAAACAGAGGCGCTCATTCAAACCACGTTTCCTCGGGGCCTGGGGAAGATCCTCGGTGTTGAGGTGAGTAACTCTGACCTGTGTAATCAACCGATCACATAAAAACTCTTTCCAGACATCCAACTGCATCCTTAATCTGCTTTTAACTGACTGTCAGTTTATTTATTTTCAAACCAAAATCAGGTTCAAACAAAAAAAAAAAACAGATATGGGACAGATAGAACAGATAACAGTGATTTAGTATGTGAAGTTTATTGTTTCACACTGGCTCTATTCAGACTGTGATGTTAACGCCCCTGTCACGTTTTGCTTTCAATCTGACTGTCAGTGGGGGTAATCAGGGGGACCAAATGATCCCCCATCTGTACTGTCTTCTGAGGTAGTAAGGAGACATTACAGAGGCGGATCAGCTGAGCAGCCCTGTTTTTCATTATTTCAACCTATCAGACTCAAACCTTTAAGGGTGCTTGTTGTGTTCCATGAAAAGAAAAGAAACGTGGATGATGTCTTTGGTGTCTCGTTTCCAGTCAAAGACCAAATCTAAAGCGGAGGCCTTCACCCGGGCGTTCGTGAAGAACAGCGTCCAGCGGCCAACGCGACTTGACCCGAAGAGCATGCTGAGTCACAAAGCTGTCAATCTGAGCTACGCCAGGATCAAGAGGGACAAGTCCAAGAGGAGCCGCAAGAAAGCCAAAGGACTGAACGCTCGGCAGAAGAGAGCCATGAAGGTCTTCCAGATCAAACCTGAGAACCAGAGGTTTGTCGTGGTCAAAAGAGTTTGTTTTAAATTCCAATTATTCCAGTCAGCCGCTCCTCTCTCCTCAGCATCACTGACGTCACACTCATTATTGCAGATACGAGCTGTTCCTGCCTCTGCATGAGCTCTGGAGAAAGTACATCATTGATCTGTGCGGGGGGGCGAATCGCCTGAGGTAAATATGTTCAGAGCTCCACAAATACGATCTTTGACATTAATAAGTGCCTCTCATAGATGTGAAACTTTTACACAAACTGAAGTCTCATACCCTGACATGTTGTGTGTTCACAGCAATCCACAGTTTCTGCAGCAGAAGCTCGTGAAGGCAGACTTCCACGGTGCCATCATCTCCGGTATACATTTATTTTGGTCAAGTTTAGTTAAATCATGAACTCTATCAAGTGTGGTAGTTAGAATAAAGTTAGCTCAGAGTCTCACACAGCTCCTTCTGTATCAGTCGGTTCAGTCAGAGGTACCACAGCAGTGAAGCTAACTTTCAGATCCAGCTTTGAAGAAGGGAGGTGAAGGGACACGTGTTTGCAGGTGGTGGAAAAAATCTAAAATCAGTTGATGTAGTTTAGCTGCTGATTAGAGCTTTCTACAGACAGCTCATTGGGGAACATAGAGCTCTATTTCTACATTTTGAGTAAATCATTCCCTTAGTTTGAGCTATAACTTAAAGAGGACATATTATCCCCCTCCTCCACCTTTTCAAACAGTCTCCCTATGGTCTAAATGAATCATCTGTGCTGTGCTGTGGTCAAAATATAACATGAATCAAGCACCAGAGGAGGTTTGTGACCCTGTATAAACCAGCTCTCTCAGAACGCTCCGTTTTGGTGTGTGTGTCTCTTTAAATGTAATGACATATGGATATCAGGATCTCCTAAACTTACCTGAGAGTCATCAGGTTTTCCAGCAGTGTTAGTGTTGACTTTGTCCAATCAGGTACAGAAAAGACCAACTGAATGATGTGTGTGTGTTGTGTGTGTATTGTTTTTTATGTGACACCCTTACCTGTTGTTCTCTCCCCTGATTGTAATTGGACTGTTTCTCTCTGAGCAGCTACGACAGACTTTTAATCATACGTCTTGTTCCTTGTTCTCTCAGTGGTCCGCTCTAAATGTCCTTCGTATGTGGGGATGACGGGGATTCTAGTTCAAGAATTCAAACACGTTTTTAAAATAATCACCAAAGAAGACAAACTGAAAGGTAAGACGGATGGTTGTGTCATCATCTGGTACTCTTCATATGTCGCGTTTTTAGGTCTGAAACACAAACATAACTCGGATACTCTTTCACAAAACTCAGTGTATACGTGAATCAGTTTGAAATAACTTTAATATCAATGAAACAATATTTGAATCAGATGATGTTTTACATAAAACTGCTCACAATAGATCTTTTCTGATGAGCTAGGGAAGTGAAATGTTAGTTTTCAGAGAGAGAATATTAAAACACAAATTATTTGTTTGTTAGAAACACTGTTAGAAGTGTTGCTCCTCCATTCCTTCTCTTCTCTCTCATTAGCTTTAGTACACTTAGGGCGCGGCCACACTGGCAATCCGTACGGTGCCGAAGCAAAACTCTCCAAAGCGTGCCAGAGCCAAGGAAGTGTACCGAGCTCGAGCACGGAGCGGTCACACCGGTCAAACAAACTGGACTTTAGTGGTGAAGCGTGGTTAGGCACGGTACGGATTGTCAATGTGACCGCCCACTCAGAAAGTACTCACACAGACCTTTGGGTTTGAAATCCCATATATCCAAATGTTTTCACATCAGCCTGTGAGCTAACAGATCAGTTTGTTTAGATAACCCGGGCATGTAAACTCTGATCATTTCAAACTGACTGACTCTGGTGAAACGTTGAATCTTTGTTTTTGATCAACTCATTTGTTCCCCTGTTTGTTTTCTTCTTCTTCTTCTTCTTCTTCTTCTTCTTCTCACGCTGCACACGTGGTGTTACAGTGATCCCGAAGAGGAACAGCGTGTTTGAAATGGAGATTAACGGCCTCGTCTCCCACATCTATGGAAACCCACTCGAGCAGCGCTCCAGCGAACGCTCCGTCAAGAAATTTAAAGTTAAAAGAACCATCGACTTGTGAGGTCACCAGAGGTCACTACAGTGTGCCTCCAAAGAGAGACGTTACATAACTGACCGCCCTTTATGCCAGTCAGAAGGAAGCGTTATGAAACAGACTGAGTTGAGTTGCACATCATTTTGATTTCTTACAGACGTGTTTCTTTGTGTTCAGGGACCTTTCCTGTACCAGCTCAGTGGGCTGATTGTAAATAAAAAAACTAAAATGTTTAAGGCAGAGCTGGTGGAAAAGATCGCTGCAGGGTGTAAACACAACAGTCAAACTTGGCCCCGCCTCCTGGGCTCATCAGGATGTAGCATCAACGTTACTGCTGGTAGCTACACAAGCTAACAGGAAGCAACACCTTGTTTAAGAATGAACTTTATCTGCTCGCCGTTTCGCCTCATTAGGATTCTATTTTCACTTCTTTGCCACTACGGCAAGATACGTCATTTACGCCCGTTTGAATCGTTTCCAATCGCTGGACTGTATCCACTCCTAAACTCACCTGTGCGCTGTCATTGGCTGGAGGAAACACACCAGCTCCCCGCCATGAAACGTCTTTGTGTCAACCAAAACAAAACAAACCATGAAAATCCAGTCAGAGGAGCGAGTCTGTGCAGTCACAACCACAAGTGGTGGTTGAGTGGCATTCCCTTTGTATAAGTCTTTCTTTTATTTTTGAGGAATAAACTACTGACTCTACCTTTAAAATGTGTGAACGACTTCTTTGCTTCTGTTGAATTGTTTCTTCACACTTTGTTACAGCAACTCATTACGTCTCATCCTTTTTTTCGTTTGTTGTTGGCGGTGAGGAAGCAAAGTAAGACGACGTGCAAGTTGGGATTGAGTCACATTTATTTGGAAGAACTTTTCACTTTTAATTCATTTTAATTGGTGTGTTTTTTTTTGTCCCTTTTAATGCCTAATTATTGGTTATTAGATTTCCTGCAGCACTAAGTTTCTTAACTCTTGTTATGACGTGATCATCAATAAACCTGTTACTAGTCCCTGAACTCTTGGAAGTCTGTTTTTCAGACGTTTGCTCAGTTTTATAACAGAAGTGAGAAATGTGTGAAGTAACGCCTCTGCAGAAAATAATCTGGACTTCCTTGTTCCTCATTGTAACGGAAAAAAACATGAACTCTGGAGGTGTGTAAGCTTCTGAATATAACACGGTGCTTTGTTTCCTTGAATTCCTTCACCTGCTTCAGGAGACTTAGAAACACCTGAGGGCTGTGGTTCACCTGATTAGAGAAGCTGTCTAACCACTTCATCATATTTGAATGATGCGAATGCATTTACCGGTCCTGGTTTGGTTTTATAACACAAATATTTTCATTTAAGGCGCACAAAGGGGGAAGACCGAGCCGTCAGTATCTAATTAGATTTATCTTATGAAGCACAAACATGTTCTCATGAGTATCTGATCACCTAACTGATACTAACAATCCTTGGCGTGATAATGGGCTTAAGACAGAATTCATGAAGACGGCCTGCATGAAAACAAGAATACTCTTAGGGTTCGAAGTAGCACAAAAAACAATCTCTCGTCTCATGCAAACTTGAGGGTCACAATCAGTGTTTGACATGAATGCAGATGGAGAAATGACAGAACTGTTAACTAATGCTGACAAATGTTGAACTGGTTTAACAGACTTTATATCTAAGTTTTTTTAGCTAGTACTGAAACAGACTGAAATTAACATCAATTCCTCTTTATGACATACAACGGCCAACGAGACCATAAGTGAGTGGATGGATTTTTTCTAAAGTTATATTTTTGGATGATTTTTGCCGTTATTGGATAACTTGATTGGACAGAGAGACAGGAAACATTGGGAGGAGACAGGGAGGGACAACGTGTGACAAAGGGCAAAGGTCAGATACTAACCCAGCCGCCTCATAACTGCTATCTGGTGCAGCCTTTGAAGACTGATTATTTTTATTTATAGATAT